GTGATGATGATGCAACAGGTCTCCGTGTCGGAAAAGCCTGAACCTAATCGAAGGTTGCGCGAGGATGGGTGATGGGCATGCCGTCGCTCGAGTGTTGCGCCGTTTCTAGTGAAATTTATCGTGCTTCGTTGTTCTATTGCGTAGCAAGGGCACCGATAATCTGGTTGTGTACGGTGATAGATGTGGTGGTGGCCCGCTTTGCCTTGTGTTGTTTTTTATTGTTCTGTTTGTTTGTTTGTTGTTTGTCGGTAAGGTGTGTGTGTCTTTCTCTGTCTGTGTCTTTCTCTTTCCCTTTGCTTCTCTCCATCTGCTCTATTCATTTCTTTTTCTTTTTTTTCTTTTTTCGATCTTTTTCAATCTAGGGTCAACCTCTCACATAGCGTGTACTCGCATAGCGTGTAGAGGTGAGCGGAATGGCCTAGACTATCTGTCGCTGACTTTTATTGGCTTGCGGATCCTCGGGTCCATTTTATTTTCGAATACCTTTTTTGGGTAAGTTAGCCTGTGACCACGGGAATCGACCCCGTCAAGTGTTAGACTGTAGACGGACAGAAGAAGGCACTGAGCAGAGAGAATGGAACGGTTTTTAATGTGAAGACAGCAACAACAACAGCAACAACAACAACTAACTAGGCCAGGAGCGGAAGCGAGAGAAAAACTCACTTTGCAAGAAAAGTTCGCTTACGCCGGGATTCGAACCCCTGACCTGACCTCTAGAATTGTTGTTGTTGTTGTTGTCTTCACATTAAAAACCGTTCCGATCACCTCTCTCTCTCTCTACCCAGTACCTTGATATGTCCATACTGATCCAACACTTGACGCGGTCGATTCCCGCGGTCACAGGTTACCTTACCCTAAAAAGGTACACTCAAATAAACTGGCCCCGAGGGGTCCGCAAGTAAGTCAAGAGAAATCAACTACAGATATTCTGGAGTCCTCCGCTCCCTCTGCAGACCACTTGCAACAGGACCCGCCGCACCAAAAAAATTGCTCTGGGCGGAGGGGAGGTTCTGTGGGGGATATTTTCAAGAAATCATAACTTTTTGCCCCGGGATCGGATTTTCATAAAATAAATTGCGTTGGATAGCTGACGAGCTGAAGTTTTTGTGGCGGTTTTTGCCTTGTTTTTTGGAAAACGGGGGGACGAATATCTTGGGTTTTTGTTGAATAACCCAGGCTGTTCGAGAAATATAAATTTAGTTCGGGGGAAAGGGTTGATTTTCGTTTAAGAATAACACTATCGTTGTGCCTCGTTTCCAAAACAAACAAACAAAAATCGCAGAAAAAACTTCAGCTCGTCAGCTATCGAACGCAAATTGTTGTATGAAAATCCGATCCCGGGGCAAAAAGTTATGATTTTTTGAAAATATCCCCCACAAAACCTCTCCTCCGCCCAGAGCAATTTTTTTTGGTGCGGCGGGTCCTGTTGCAAGTGGTCTGAGAACGCATACATTACATCAGTATTTTCGAGTCAGTTCTTCTCCTCAGATAGTATGGGATGTAAACAGTGGCATCACCTCCCGCAGGGGTTGGTGTTGCCACTTCGTAGCGAATGGAAAGAAATAAATATGGCTATGGGAAACAATCCTGTTTCCTGTCAAGCAGTAATAATACAGCGATCTATATTTATTTCTTTCCCATCCGCGACGATTGTATTTTCCGGAGAAAAAATTGACTGAAAATAGAAATAGAGAAATTCGAGAAAGATTCCAATAATCGTTGGGTGGGTGGGTGGTGTCTCAAAAAGGAGACTCTCCTTTCCTCTGTTTTCCTGTCTTGCACAGGTTTGACAAAAGGAAGTGAGAGTGTGTTCTTCCTCCTCCTTTGTTCTGGATCTTTACGTCTGGAGAATTCCTAAATCGTGCCTCTTTCTTCATTTCCTGTTTTGAGAATCCGCTAACGTCGGCGACGTCCTTCCATCTCGCAACGCAACCTGTCGCTGCGAGCTTAGCGACTTCGCTCGTGACCCATGATACATGTTCGTCGGGAACGTGGTTCGGCAGATGTATTGACGTAAGGTCAGCGCCGTTGTACGAAGCACCGTGAAAAATGCCTGTTGCCTTTGTGTCTACGAAGTCGTAAACGTTGACCCCTTTGACCCCCCCAAGAGGGTATTGCGATCTCCAACGGGAGTATCCTGTAAAATTTCGTCCCGCCAGAACTCAGTCGCTGTTTGCAAGTGAGCCGGAACGAAATCGTCCGTCACCCACATCCTAGCTTGGTCTGGTAGGCAGTGAGATTGTTGAAGGCGCCGAATATTAGAGAGGTCGACGGTTGACTGTTTCGCTGATGCACTGATCAGGTCCCCGCCCACTAACTGTGTGCGAATGTGTGCGGTACGTGCGGCTCTCTCGGCGAGGAACAAGGCTGCTCCCGATCCGACCTGTGACACGCATGAAATGTGTAGAAGAAAATCTCTGATGTCGGAAAACTGGGCTTGTTTTGCCATAACCAACGTATGTTGTTGGCTGCACGTGTGTGACTTATGTCGCATATGCTAGGGGAGAGTAGCACGCAAAGTGGAAATTTCGTTCACCTAGGTTTAAGGATGATTTCAGTGTAAATCTACATGAATCGATCCGCGCGTCAACCGCCGACCAAAGTCCAAACCAAGAAAGGGAAAGGTGCAGAGGCGTGGGAGAGTGCTCGAGAAAGATGTGTATGACCAGTAATTTCAGGAGGTAATGTGGGATCACGTGACGAAATGTGAGAATCGTTACAGAGTATATCAGTCAGGACGGTGAAATTGGTGAGTCCACATGGTGCCCATCGGACCGGAAATACGTGGTCGGGCGACGCGTCCTCCGACGCGCATGATGCGTGGGTGGGAGCGTGCATTCGAAAAGGAAAGGCTATCATATCGGGCTGAGAAAACCCTTATGAACCTCGAGCTGAAAGAAAGAAAGGTGGATTGAACCAATAGATAACGAACTTTCACCAATGAAGGAAACTCCGAGGCGAAAAACCGAAAAACGGCCGAAAACCCACTGAACGCGAAAACTTGGCAGAAACGAGAGAAACATGTCCCGTGTCGCTGAACATCCAGATGCCCCCCGAACGACGAGAACCGGGAAACCAACAGACGAGAAACGCGTACCGCTCAGCGAATCACTAACTATTTAGTTGGGGCAATTCTGAATTACGTGTCCCCGACCATGGCACTTATGGCATTGGACAAAGGGGCAGACACGGAACGAGTGTTCGATATCTGCCCCGGTCTTGCCGGCACGGTGGCAAGTGTTGCACAAAGCGGTCTTTCTGCTAAACCCGCTGCCACCCCCTCGGCTACTGCGGCCGCCAGAGGCCCTGTGTCGCCCCCCGGGTCCCCGGCTCGGGGTATAGTGCCCCCCCTGTGGCTGCATACCATAGGGGCTATATCCCCCAAAATGCGGGGTAAGGGCCATGGGCTGCATGGGGGGTGGGCTCCAAGGTCCGGCTGGAGCTGAGGAATGCTTGGGCCCCCCCAGAAACTTGGTGATGGCCGACAGCTCTTTTACCACCTGGCCACGATCTGTTTTACGACCCTCCTCGGTTTGGGACATGAGTTTGTCATGTACCCATACCGCGGCCGCATCCGGGCGGCCGCATTGCATCGCCGCATCAATACCCACGGCGAGCGTGTCGACAAACGTGCGTTCGTCCGTCAGCTCGGGGTCCATAGCCGCTAGCCTAGCTAGCTCCTGGACCTTGGTTTTGATCTCTAGCACCCGCTGGTGCTTGACGGAGGCGTCGAAAGTCGTGAGCCCGCTTACACTGGTAAGCAAACCCGTCCACAGGGCTGCGAACTGAGAGGGAAGAATTGCGAAAAAAGAAAGCCGCGGAAAGGGCGAGATAGCAGAGAAACGCTTGAGAAAAACCGAGTGGAAAGAGACGGCGAGAAGAGATACCCGGAGAGACGGGTAAAGCACATCGGAACCAGACACGCGAAGAAAAACGCCGGATAAAACCGAGCTGAAAACGGTGAAAGAAACAACCCTGAGAGAGGGATAGCTGACACAACGGAGAAACGGTTGAGAAAAAATCCACTTGAAACATTTGAGATAGCGGAGAAAACGCTCGAGAAAAGAAACCGAGCTGAAAACCGGAGATAGCGGAGAAACGTCAGAAAATAGCGGAGAAAACGCTCGAGAAACCGAGTGGAAAATGTGAAACAGTGGAGACTGGAGAGAAACCGAGTTGAAATACGGCGAAAGAAAGAAAAATTGAGAGAGGGTAGCGGAGATAGCGGAGAAACGTTTGAGAGAAACCGAGTTGAGAAACGGTGAAAGAAAGAAAAAACACCCGAGAGGAGGGTAGCTGAGATAGCAGAGAAACGCGTGAGAAAACCGAGCTGAAAAACGGTGAAAGAAAGACAAAACCCGCGAA